AATATCTCTTGAGCATCCTCATACTCCTACAGAGAGTTATCAAACTTTTTTTTATCCCAAACTAAAAAAAAAAATTAGAAGTAAAAATTCGTGACGGTGATATTGTATATATTAGTCCTTAATATACAAATATATTTATTTTTTTTTTTAAATAAATATTGGAATTTTTAAATATTTTCCCGGATAAAGTTTTTAAAAGACATTTTCTATACCTATTCGCCCTTTTGCTACTAAAAGTTTAGTCCTTTTCATTTCTTCTTTTTCTTTTTCTCTATCTCTTTTTTTCTCTTTTATATGATTTCCATATTGTTATCCTATTTTGCACTGAAATAAAAAAAAAAATTTTTTTTTTTTGAATGAATCATATTTTTGAAACTTCAAGTCCTTTCACAAAAATTTTGATGTCAGAAAGGACAACCAAGAATGCAGTATATTATTTTCTTTGCGTGTAAAATTTACTGCCGCACTTAGCTAATAGAGAGGTAATCAAGAAGAACTAGAAATTCAGATATTTTTCCATCAATTCTTGGTAAAATTTGCCTGGTATGGAAGATATTTTGCAATTAGACCACAGTATGTCTATCGGGCTATTGGAAAGTTCAATATACTTAGTTGTGAAAACTTTGGTAGGGGTGTACGGTAAAGCATAATAACCCCGAAAAAAATAATGGGTCTTACGACAGCTCTTTTACTTCATCGCCACATTTTTTAATATTGCGATTCTTGTTAAGATCTTAAAATGAATATTTGTACTTTATTTATAATCACTTTTTTTCTTATAAATGTATGTATATGTGCCACACATCGTCACTTTTAATTCAATGTATTGTGGAGCAGTGAACTATGAAATACGTTAAAAACCAAGCTTAGTTCCTTTTGCCGTTTTTCCAATCTAAAAAGTGTCGTTCTAAATGCCATAAATTCTAAATGCCATAATAAATAACTAAAACCGATTTTTATTATACATTGATATTTTCGAAACAGGGAAATGGCAATAAATGACATTTTTAACCAAAATTGTAGCCTCACAGACAGCAGTAATGCGGATTAACGAGCTGCGAGGTCGTAGGTACGAGTCGCACTGCCAGTAGAATTTTCATAATTTTTTTTTAATTCATTAATGTTTTTGTGGACTTTTTTTTCATAAAATTACACTTCAAAATTTTAAGTTAAATGATAATAAAATAAATAATATGAAATGAAACAAAACCAACAGTTAGCCGGTTAGGTCAGTGTTTTCATCGAAAATTCCCCAGATCCGCATAATTTTGAAGATTAGCCGCTGAACTTAATGCGGATCAACTGCAGTTAATTCCCGAGATAGACTCGAATTAACGAAATGATCCGTGTCAACGCCGCCGCGTGTCTATGCTTTCAGCTACATACTCAGGATCTAGAAGTAAATGGAATCCAGCCACGGCTTCGCTAGTAAACCACATCTTTATTAAACACTCTTTTGTGGCAACGTCTTTTTATAAATGACAACAGCTCCTGTTTCCAATATTCCAGGTTTTTACGCTATGCAGATAACCCAAACTCTTTTGTAGAGTTAATGACTTGTCGGATGTTTCTTTTCTGCAGCACGCCCTGAGTAACCTTGTCAGTTGGTGTCATACCAAAAAGCTTTACTTAAATATTAATAAATGCTTTCATATGTCCTCAGAATCTTCAACATAATTTTTTCTAATTACAATATCTGTAGCACTCGCTTGGCCTCTGTGAAAGAGTTTGTTGACTTAGGCGTAGACTCTAATTTTTCGTTGTGTATGATATGCGAAACACTTTAAGGAAAGCATTATTAATCTGGATTAATACGATCAAAACTACAGTATGATACTATTATATGGAACCCTATTTACGGCTGTCGTGCCATCAGAATCGAAAGAGTGCATATTGTTTCGTTTTGCTTTAAGTTCCCTTAATTTTGATGACCCGATGCCATGTTGTTTTTCCGTTGTAAGCTTATTCACCTAAAAGCTCTTGAAACTAGAAGAATTATTCAGTTGCTACGTTTGTTTTTTGATCTAGTTGTTGGCTCTTTGAATTGTCCGGTCCGTCTGGAGAAGATATCCTTGAATGTGCCTCACATATTTCTACGCTCATCTCTGGCGTTTTACTTGCGTGCTACAAAAGCTGACTTTTACCATTTCGACCCGGTTTTCGGTGCTGTTACAGAATTTAATAAGTTCTACATTAATCTACAGCAGTAGATCCGAAAAGACCGCACTTAAAGCATAAACAGACGGCAGCGTTGATCTGGATCAACTCGGGAATTAACTGCAGTTGATCCGGATTAAGTCCGAGTTAATCCGGATAAACGCTGCTGTCTGTTTAGGCTTTAAGACTAGAAGAACGAAAAAGCTGGAAAGCGCACAAACGTGTGAAAATTAACACCCATCGCTCAAAGCGGATTACTACACTAAGAAAGAAAAAATAAACCATATCCGCTTTTTTAACTGAAACACATATCGTCGATGTTTTTGCAAAACCGCCTAAATCGCCATTGTGAAAAAAATGAGATTTGCTAACCCTGAACTCCAGGCATCGAGATTTATGCATAAGAATCGTAAAATCGTTATTAAAACAACAGATTTGTAAAATAATAGCTAGAGAAAATACCGCCTATCAAGGCAATGCCTTCAAAGAAAACCCGTTTTTTCGCTCTCCTGTAAAAGTTGAGTGCCGTAAGATAGGCGGTTTTGCAAAAACATCGACGATGTGATTTTGCCCCAAACGACCTTTTGTTTACTTTAATCAGATTTATTTTTGGAGATTTTTTTCTGTTGAACACGATTTCGTTGTGCACTTCACAGATGCTTTTTTCGTAATTACAAAAAAAAACAAAAAAAAAATATAAAGTATGTGTTCCGCCTAATGGGATTCGGACCTGGACACTCCTGGCATCAAACAATTGTACCAAGCATCTCAGAGCAATCAGCTACAGCTACCATACATGTTGTCATGTTTAAGTTTGTTTAAAAAAGAATTTCTATTCACAAATTTCTAATCGCTAACATGAAAAACCCAAAAATAACACTTTTTGAAAAAGTCATGTTACTTTTTTCTTAGTGCAACCCTTGGTGTTTTACGAGATACAAATTTTGCTGAAGATTTACGGGCCTGTACGTACTGGTGACGGTGAATACCGCAGACAAAGGAACGATGAGCTGTATGAGCTTTACAAGGAAATAGACATGGCGCGGTCAATGGACAGAAATACTCCAGCTCTGAAAGTATTCAACTGGGTAGGAGAGGCAAACGGAGGCCTCCTCTGCGACGGAAAGACCAGGTGGGGTAGGACTAGGCTTCACTTGGCATTTACAATTGGCGTCAGTTGGCACAGAAGCGTACAATTTAAACGCAGCGGCAAAGTTGAGCATATGCACAGCAATTGGAATCCAACCTAACCTAACTTTGGTGAAAGTTATCTTTTGGTTACCAACTTTAGCTTCCATGAATTTTTTAAACTGAAAATTTTGTTGGAAATAAGAGTGGTCCAAAAAAAATTTTCCCGTAGTTAGGGTTAGGGGTACCTTCCAACAGTTTTCCTCTTGCCGAAAGAGGTGCCGGCATGAAACTTCACGTTGCTAAGTATACACTTAGAGGATGCCCATAAAATGTTTATATTTTACTCTAGTAGTACATTTCACATATATTAACCAAACAATTGGTTAAGCAGCCTAAGCCCATTTCAAATTTAAATTAGCTGAAAAAATATTACCAGCTTCATTTGTCATGGCAAAACTAGCTTTTTATAAAAATCTGTAATTTTTTTTTTATTCTCAAAGGCATTCAGTAGCGCATTTCAAGATCATTGAGCACCTTGTACTGGTTAAAGTAGAAAATCGAAAGTTGATATAGATATTACAAATACCAAAAGGAAAAAACTAAGGGGGTACCAGCCTTTCTACGATGAAATTTTTCTCCCATATACAATTTGGACCACTCTAATGCCGAATTTCCGCTAGCCATTGAAATGACTAAAAATGTATGCCATTTAAAAAAATGCCAAGGGAAAATGAACTTAATGACTATTTTTTTAATGTAACGACACGATTATTTTTTAATGCCCGACTTTGTCATTTGTCATTTTTGCCTTTTAATGCCTAGTGGAAATCCAGCATAATGTACATGGGTAAATCAAACCCTTATCAAAAATTTTGGTCACAAATTTGTGGAACTTGAATTTCTAGATCGAAAATTCAAATTTATTGTTAGGCGTGTTTTATTTGACCAGAAATTAAAGCTAGTAGCTTATTTCCTAGCCAACATTACTACATACATACATACAAATAATAATGAAAAACTATCTTGGCTTGTAAATTGAACTAGATGCATTGCCAATCAGTACCAGAAAGATTTCTGCTTCAGCCAATCAGAAAGAGGCAAAAGCTTACCTCTGACACTACAACGTTTAAAAATGTATATATACAAAAACATTAAAAATGATCAAAAAATATTAAAATTTTATGCATTTCATCTTGCCACAAAAGAGGCCAATGTGATAACTGGTTCATTAGATCATGCCTCAATAAGCTAATTTTATTTTATTTGACCAAGATTTAACTATTAGCGTGTGATGGTTAAATAAAACACCCCTATTATTTATGTTTCTCAAATTTTGAACACTTAAAAATTTAAAAAAAATGTTAAGAACGAAAAACCGAAATTTTCAGACCTTGCTTTTAGTAGATACGCAATTGTTCTCTATTTTCATATTCTCTTCCTAAACCAAAACTTTTAAAAACTGCCTCTCCGTCTCTTTCAACTTGTAAAAGTGATTTTTTTCTCTCTCCACTATAAGTCCTTTTTCACAACACGAGAAATCCGTTAGCTCATCGCATTTTTTCATCTCATTCATAAAAATAATTTCGTTGGACTTTTCAACATTTGATTCAAATACCAGCTATAGTCTCATAAATATTTTTTCCCCACTACTGTATGCAACCACAATATTGCCTTGAGACAAATAAACTCTCGTTTAAATTTCGTCTACTCACCGATATTATGTTGATTATTATGTAAAACCGATCCGAACGCCATTAGATCCTTAACCGATGGTGTTCTTGAACCGAGCGCGGCGAAACCGTCGCCCAGAAATGACGCCAGCGCGACAGCCCTAAGGGGCGTTTTCGATAATTCGGTTAGAATTTTGTAGCTTTCGCTTAACACGCCGCCGCCGTGGCAAGGCAAATTGCCGTGCGATTGCTTTTCAGATTGTTGATGTTGTTGTTGTTGTTGTTGTTGTTGTTCTTGTAGTTGATATTCCAATTGTTTTAGTTGTTGTTTTGGTTGCTGTGATGCAGTTGTCACTTGAGCTGCAGCCGTCGTCGTCCTCGTTATGCTAAGCTTAACTGTCGTTGCTTTAATTGTAGCCGTCGGCAATGCACTTAAACACTTTGAAAACTAAGAAACTCACACACTACACATTTTGACACTTACATATGTACGTATGTATGTATGTAGGCGCAGCAGTGGAGCGCACGCGAATTGTAATGAATTTCGTTAAGGCGACGGCTCAACGTTTGTGTATGTGTGGCCGTTGGCGCGTCCGCCGCGTAAGCGTGCGCGCGTTGACGCGCTAATGCACGTAAATGCACACAATTAATAGCCTACTTTTAGGCGATGAACCCAGCAAACGCCGCTAATTAAGTAAGTAAGTAAGTGGGTAGGATAGCGTGTGCGTGTATTGGAGGAAGCTGTGGGGGTAGGCGCGCTGCCAAACTAACTAACTGACTGACGCGTTGTCTGTCTGGCTGTCTAGCTGGCCTGCCGAAGTTGGTCGGCGCGCACAACAGCACACATTTATACTACGGGCAATAATAACAAGAACAAATAGAGTGTTGAAGCAACAGCTTTCACTGGAAACAGAACCCGAAAAACAAAGAACACAGATACACAGTTAGGCAAAAGAAGACTTGTGACTACTCACACACACACACACCCACACACAAACACTAACAATATGATAATATGTAGCATGCACGCGCTGAATGGGGCTTTGTTTAATAGCGTTAATTAGTGCGCGTGTGCATATGCACGAGGCGGTGTTCTAGTAGGCGCGGGCGCGGTTGTATTTTGGTCGCAGTTCGCGTGAAAAAAGGGTTTAATGACACGACTTTTGGCTGCTGCAGGCCTTTTTGCTAGCGAGCGAGCGAGCGCAAACACTTTCTTACATACGCGTCTGCAGTATATATGTATGTATGCACTTAATTATTTTCACTTGATACACTTGCACTTTCGTAGATGGTTCTGCAGACGTATGCGCGCACGCTGGTATGAGCGCAAAAGCTTAAGGCAGGCAGATCGTTGCTGCGATACTTCTTCGGTGGCACAGCGCTCTATTGTCTTGTCTGTTGAAGGCTTCAAGGCTCCTTTCCGCGGTGTGAAATTCACTTTTGGCACTTGACAGCTGTGATGAAAGCGCGGAGGCAGGTGGGGCGCGCGCGTTGAAGGAAGCTCGCGTTTTTGACTTTCTAAATGTGCAACACTGGGCTAAGAGGATGGCGCTTCAATGTAGGCGTTGGGCGCTGAGAAATTAACTGAACGCGCGACGCTGTGCAAAAACATTAAAAGCAGATTTTTCCTGTATTTTCTTAGACCTCTCAAATTTTTGTAAAGTAGGGATATACTTTTTTCGCAAATTTATTTTCTAAAAATAAGTATCGCTTGTGTTTGCGTTTTTTTTCGGCGTTTCAATTACATTTGAACATTGAATTGGCCAAATTTTCCACAATTTTCAAATTATACACGCTGTCACATCAAAGCACTTGCTTCTTAGTATTTCACGCTTTTTTTTTATAAAATCTGTTTCTTTTTTAAGTTATGCATAAATATTTCTTTCAAAACTTTTTAGCATTCTGTTTTTATTTTTATTTTATTTGTTCTTTTTTGCCACGTCAATGCAACCGCGCGCGGTTCAACTGCAGGTAATGTCAACTGTCAGTGGCGGCCAACAGTGGCATTGACAGCTGTTACTGGCTCAGCGCCAACGCTTTGTGCTTAAAATATGGCTGCACTTTTCTTGTAGCAAAATATTGGAATAAATATGTATTTACTTTACTTTTCACTTTTCAATTTGCTGCTGCTTCTTCTTCACCTTATATCAAACGCGCGCGGTATAATTCCAAGCAGCCGAAAGCTTTGTATATATTTTGCGCGACTCTACGTACCGTATTTGAGAAAATCGTTTGGTGGCGCACGTCAATAATCAGCATCAGGCACACGCCAAACCAGACCAACGAGCGTACAACGCGAACGTCGAAATGAAACTGAAGCGTTTGCCGCACGGAGCATATTCGAAGCGGCAGCGCCGGTCACAGCGGCCACGACCATCGACCGAAACAAAGCACGATGCGGATGCAGTATGAGCACACACACACACACATGCACATGCGCTCGCGTACACCAACAAACCTGCAGTACGGCAAGATGAGCGCACCAACCACCACCAACCAGTAGGCAATAAGAAGCAAAAACAAAGAAAACAGCAATCGAACAGCAGCTGCAGGTAATAAAGAGCAACAACGCGCAACCGGTTTGCCAACCTCCTCGTGCAAGCACATACAAACGCGCCACCCCAAATGCCAACAAAAACATAAGCGCCTCAACGCCGCTCTCGTTGCGCTCAACAAGCCGTACTCACTCATCAATGCGCTTGAGCACGCTCGCATATACTGCGCCCAACTGGGCGTATCTTTCTCTATGCGCGCAAAAGAGCGCGCGCTAAGTAACGGAATTTCCCCTCCATCATTGAGTGAGCAGCCTTTAAGTGGTAAGTGAGCTCTCTCTACAAAGCAAGCGAAGTGCGAGTGCGCGCGAGATGGCGCTACTCTACATCAGCCAATTGGTATTGCACTCTCACTCGCACAAAAATCGCAATGGAGTCTGTTGCTGACATATTTGGGTAGTGTGTTGCCGGCATGGAGCGCGAGTGCTAACGACAGCCCCGTCGCCTGTGGCGTTTAACACAAAAAAAAGGGTACCACAAAAATACAGACATATATCCAAAAGGAGCTAGTGCAGCGCGCCGTGCCGTGAGTATTTCAATGACAATATGAAGAGCCTGACACCCAACTATAGAGATTTACTCGTGGCCGTTGAGTGAGCTGAGCTTTGGAGCGAGCGCGTTTTATGTGGTTGGAGGGCGTTGCTAAGCAACTGGTTTCGCTCAGCGTAAGCATTGAAAGGCGGCACGAGGCTTTTGGCTGTGTTGTTGTTGGTGATTGCTTGCATGGTTGTTGTTTTTATGATTACTTGCCCCGTTGTGCTGCCCCGCATATGCGTGTGTATGTGTGTGTGTGTGGTTGCGCGCGCGGTCTCCTGTCGGAGTTTGTCGAACCAATGGCATTTTTCAAAGTGACATTTTGCTCTTTGCGCTTCTTATTGTCGGCAGGCGCTACGCGCACGTGTTGTTGTATACAACGTTTGTTGGTTTTGTTTGTGTAGTTGACTGCGTTTTCTCTGTGTGTGTGCATGCGTTTTTTTTACTTTTATTTCTTCCTTGTAGCAACAACAAGTTTTCGCCTGCGTTTTTGCTTTTGTTTTGCCTTTTCTTTGGACTTTTATTTGCGCTTCTCTTACAATTCTCAACTGGTTGCTTTTGTATTTACACTTGTTGTTGTTTTTTATTATTCTTAGCTTCAGCTTATCAATAGCCATTTGTTGTTATTGTTTTGTTGACACCATCCGCTTGCTTTTTTATTTTCTTAGCTGCATAGATACATTTCTGCTGGTTGTTGCTGCTTGGGGCGGCATTTTTATTTTTGTGATTCTTGTTTGTTGTTGTTTATGTTGTTGTTGTGACTTGTGGCTTGTATTTTCATAGTCGTTTTCCAAGGTAAAATGTCAAATGCGCTGCGTACTGTCAGTCGTGTTGGTTGCCTTGCTTGTTACTCTCCATGGCAGGGGCGTCGTTGGGGCTGTACTTGAATGGGGAACAGCGTAGATGTATTTCATTTCATTAATTTATATGTATTTATTAAAGAAATGCTCGGTGTCAATGAATGCCAATTATTTATATGTATCTATCTATGTTTAGACTTCAAAATGAGAGAGTTGCCCCCTACATTAAAATATTCAAATTATTTAAGTAAGTTTCAGTAAGTTGCCTAAAGTCAGTTTTTGTTGTATAAAATTCAGGTAGAATGGAGGCTTTCAGTATGCAGTTATTATATATGCTTATGTTCTTTATTTTAAACAGTAAGAAAGTGCAGTTTTAGAAATAAAGCAAATGTGCATGTTATTTTCCTCCAAATCGTAACATTTAGCATTTTAGTCTAAAAAAAATTAGTATTGCATTTTACACGGCTAATTACCAAAGGGAATAAGTCAGCATTTTTCCGATATCACAAATTTGATACTTCAACTGAGCTCTAATCGAACCGAACTGCATTAAAATTTTCATATCGAAAATATGTTGACTTATTCCCTTTGATATTTTTTGGGCTATTTTTTTCTTTTGTTTATGGAATGTTTATAATTTTTTTTAGGTCTAAATATACTACATAACCAGCACCAAATAAATCCACATTTCAAACTTTATACAAAAATTATAAAAATTCAACAAACTTTAACAAATACAACCAAAAGTTATGTAATGTTGTAAATTTTTATAAAAAAAAAAAATAAAACATTAAATGAACAAAACCAAATTGTCGAAACTGGTCAAAATGCCAATTTATTTAATCAGCTGACCACAAGGTTTAGGCGGCAGCTTACATGGCGACGTCTCCCTGCGCAACGTTTCATTGTATGTACAACTTTTTGGGCAATAGAATATGCTTTTTTATACATACATAATAATAATTGACTGATCCTTGAGATTTTTCACATTTTTAAGCCATCCTTTTCGTTTCAATTCTTCAATTTTATCGCGTTTTGTGAGCTTCCTGATTACATATATAGTCCATAGCTCGCTTGGATATTTTACTTTCCTTCGCAATTTTCCGGATACTTTTTCCGGATAGTTTTGTATAGATATACTATTTGATAGGGTGCTTCAATAGGAAATTCAAAATTAAATTAAAGGATTTGATCCCTTCTCTCATTTGTCTTTTGTCTCGTCTCGTATTTTGCAAAATAAGTTTAATATATGCTTAGATATTTTAAGATACAATTAAAATTGTAACATGCCACCGAATACTCGAATAAATAGAAATATCAGAAAACTTTTTTTTTATAGAAATAAAGATACATATCTATGAACGCTCCGGTTAAAAGATCCTTCGACTTCGCACCCATGAGTGGACAACAAGTGCAAGGGCGCCCAAGAAAAAAATGGTAGGACGAAATGTAGAAGGCCCTGTCTGCACTCGGGTTGAGCAACTGGCACAAATACGCATAGGTACGAGGGAGACAATTGGAGAAACTTTTTTGCCTCGGCCCAAATAAGAAGAAGAAGATTTATGTATGTATGTAGTTCACTCGATTAAATTTTTTCTTAATAGATCATTGATCAAAGATCGAATTTGGATAAGTAATTTTCACTGGTGACGCCTCTGTCTCGGAAGCATAGAGTAACATGGAAGCTCTCAACTTTTTTCTTGTTTTTGTGTTGGTTACGCCAGTTTCGTCTGCAAACTGAACTCAAGCAAAAGCAAAAATAAGCATATCAAATAAAAAAAAATAAAAACAAAAAGAAAGTGAAAAAAAATTTCAAAGTGAGGCAAAATATCCGCCCCTTTGACTTTTCGAGTGAGCGTAGCGCAGCGCCAGCAACTCTGCCTTGTCGCTGCTGGCGCTGTTGTTGTCTCTGCTGCTGCCAACGCAAAAGTCGACCGACAACTGTCACGAATACACTTGTTTGTGTTTGTGTTTTGGCGTTGTCGTTGTCATTGTCTTTTGTATATAACTTTTTTCTTCCTGTTTTATTGCTTCAAAGATGCTATGCTGTCCAGCGAAGTTGTATATTTACTGTTGTTGTTGTTGTTGTTGTTCTCGTTGTTTTTTGCTGCGCCAGTTTTTGTTGCGCCAAGTTTTCAACGCTTAACATGACACGGTAATAAGCCAAAGATCAAAGAGGCATACAAATTTTTAAAAGGAAGCATAAAAAATAAAGAAAAAGGTTGAAGGGGATAAAAAAAGCAACAAAACAGCAAAATAAAAGAGTGAGAATGTATAAAATAAAAAAATTAAGTTACTGACTAGGCAAGCAAGAAGCTTCATTGAGGCAAAGTAGGTATAAAGTTTTGCTGCCGGCGAGGCGAGGCGAGTAGCATGGCGACAAATGTAAACTTAAAGCAAAACATTTAAATTTTTATTTTTTTCTTCGCACTCCATTTTAAAGTTTTTTTTTCACGAGCTGAACTTTTTATTTTATTTTATTGGTTTCCGTTGTTTTTATCTTTTTCCTTTAAATTTTAGATTTATAATTTTGTTCTTTAGTTTTGCATAACCAAAGAAAAAGTTTAAATTTCATGAAAAAAGGCCTGTCAGTGATATTTTTTCCTTGTCGCTTTTTGTTGTCTTCATTTCTTGTTACGTACATACATACATTAGACTGCATCACTCCCCATACAAAAAAAAAAATCGGTACTGTTTTTCCAATATAATATCAATCAATAAAATCAATTTTATTTTAAGACTTCCACCAAAATATCTCGCAAAAATATTAAGATTTACGTGAGCTCGACTGATTCGAAAATACCTCCAAAAATTTAGTTTCTTATTAATAAAAACAGTTTTTTTTTAATATTTTTTGAAAAAATTACCTCAGATGACTTAACAGTTTAAGCTTATAAAGTTTGCATAAAAATGTTTAAAAAAAATGTCTGCGGAATCATGATAATGAGATTTTTGATGCTGTTTTTTGGTCTTTTTTCAAAGGCTGGTTTAAGAAAAACTTGAATAACTCAGCCAAAACCTCACCAATTTAGACTTTCGAGGTATCATTGGTAAGGTATTTTCTGACCCTTTTAATTTCTTTGCGAATAAGCTCATTCAAGGTATGAAAGAGGAAGGTAAGATAAACGAGTNTAACAGTTTAAGCTTATAAAGTTTGCATAAAAATGTTTAAAAAAAATGTCTGCGGAATCATGATAATGAGATTTTTGATGCTGTTTTTTGGTCTTTTTTCAAAGGCTGGTTTAAGAAAAACTTGAATAACTCAGCCAAAACCTCACCAATTTAG